TATTAATAATAATAAAGAACCATAAATACAAAAATGAAAAAAATTGACAACAGTGAGGAACAATATATGTATGTTGTGTTGTCAATAGTAAGAGAAACAATTGAGACCCTGCAATTGTGTGTAAATGAGGCAGAAAGTCAGATCAGCAACCTGGGACTTGGTCACAATTTTGGTGATGCCATATGGCAGCAGGATCCACCATTAGACAATACATTATAGTTCCAATTTCTTCCCAGGCGGTAGTACCTCCCTGTTTGGCAGCTGCCTACTACAGTACTTGCTAATAGTAATGACAAGTTGAAAAAAAAATATAATCAAATATTTTTCTAAAATGACAAATTTATATCAACACATTGCACTAAAATCACTAGTTAATGAATACTTTAAAAAGCTTTTGGTGACTAAAAGAAATTCGATGATAATATAATAATGATACAGATGCCTTAAACTGTCGTAGTTGTCAAAGCAGTTTAAATATGGAGAATAAGTTTGTGCATGAACTGCAAATACTGTAGCTCAAATTTTTATTTTATTTATTTTATTAAAAAATTTTTTTTTAAGGGTATTAGCCCACCCGGGCACAAGTAATTTTAATGACCTACATCAAGGCCTAGGGGGCGAAAATATAATAAAATGATGATAATAATTATGATGATGATGATAATAATAAAATTAATAAAAACCTATAACAATTATAATAAAAGAAAAGAATAAAAATTTATAGAAATTATACATAATATTGTAATACCGGTAATAATAATAATAAATAAATTAATAAAAAATAAAAAAAATAAAAATATCAAGAGTGAGAAATGACATGTATGTTGTGTTGTCAAAGTAAGAGAAACAATTGAGACCATCAATTGTGTGTAACTGAGGCAGTCGGTTCATAATACAGTGGTCCCTTGGTTAACGAACAGTTCGATTAACGAAATCTCGGTTAACGAATTACCTACCATAAGAATCTTCAATTCGGTTAACGAACAAAACTTCGATTAACAAAATCCTTACGACAAACACGTTTTGTTGTGAGCATCAGCTGATGGGCTAGTCTACCAATTCAGTAATCTGTTCTTATGTTTACATTCATTTCCAGTGGAGTAAATATCAAGAAATTTGTGCTCTTTAATATTTTGCATTTTTTATTTTAAAATTATTAGTCATTTTAAAATTTAGTTAACATATTGATAATATATGCCGTACAGGGAACCAGTTTTTTGTGCGCCCATCAGCCGCTTGTCTCACCCACCAGGCGTCAGTTTGGCTTTGTTTACAGTGAAGTGAACATTGATTTTGTTGGTGTCTTGAATATTTTTGCATTTTTACATTAAAATTATTGGTCATTCTTAAATTTAGTTTACATATTGATAATATATAGCACAGTGCAGTGTTGATTGAAATAAAATAATCTTGAATTACACCTAGTGAACTTAAAATTTTATTGGTGAAATTACTGCATCAAGCATGGGTCCCCTGAAAGGTGATTTCTCCTCCGTCCCCACTTCCTTCTATTCTACCTTCTCCTCCACCCCCACTTCTAATTCCCATCATCATCATCAACCAGGAACCTTCTACATACACACCTCAAAGTACGTGTACTTTACTGCATTTTTTTTTACTTTGTATGTACTTATCTGTGAGCTGGAACTAATTACCCAATATCCCATTGAAACAATGGATTCGGTTAACGAAATTTTCGGTTAACGAACGACTCTGTGGAATGAATTGTGTTCGTTAACTGAGGGACCATTGTACAGGCAGTCCCTACTTAACCACCTTTGTGTTCATGAAAATGTGTTTTTAAACCAGACCAATAAATCCTATTAAAACAATGATACAACTAGGTGATTACCACTAATTGATATTAAGATAAAGTAATATTACACTATTGTACATAGTAAAAAATGTACTGCACGGATTATGTGCGAAACAATATGACACCACGGACGAGGGAGAGAGGAATATGTGTGTTGGTCCTGTACAGTGGTCCCTCGGTTTTTGGGTAATTGGTTCTAGCTCACCGAAAATTGCCTAAATTCAACAAAAAAGGTAGAAAAGTACACTTACTTTGAGGTGTGTATGTAGAAGGCTCCTGGATGATGATGATGGAAATTAGAATGGGGGTGAAGGAGAAGGGAGAAGAGAAGTCATTGGGGTGGAAGAGAAGTCACCCCATTTCACCCATAAAATTTTAGTTCTCTTGGTGTAATTCAAGATTATTTTCTTTAAATCAACACTGCACTGCATTATATATTGTCAATATGTAAAATAAATTTCAAAATGACCAATAATTTGCTTGCAAACACAGAAAAAAGCGTTTAGTTGAAGAGAGTCTCAAGCAAGATGTTACCTCCACTGAAAAGACACAAAGACTGACACCTGTTTGGTGTGTTGACAGGCTGGATGGCGTGCATAAAACAAGTTTCCTTACCTTCAATTATGTTCAATAATTGTTAAAATTACTAAACAATTTAATTTTAAATTTTTAAAATTATTGATATTTACTAAAATGGTAAGGAATATAAGTCCTAGAACTGATTACAGGCATCCCCTGCGTTACGGAAGGGTTCCATCCCTGGACAATTGACCGC